TCTCTGTCACTTTCTAGCTGCATAACTAGGAAAATTAAGCTTCCACATCAGCAAAATGGCAGTAAATGTTGTAATAATTAAAATATAATGCTTGTAAAGTGCTTAACATAGATCTGGTACATAATATGTCTTAATGTGTCAACTTTATAATCTTCTAGTTTCTAGTCTAAATGATGTAAAGGAAAAAATAGAGAGAAGGAGATTTTTAAAAGTCAAGGAGAGAAATGGAGGAAAGAAGAGAGGAAGGAAGGAAGTGATCCAGAAAGAGGAAGGGAAAGAGGAACAAAAAGAAGGAGGGAAGGAAGGAAGGAAGGAAAGAAGGAAGGAAGGGAGAGAGAGCAGGAGGAAGGAAGAAAATGAAAATAAAAGGACTTGCCTTTCTAGCTTATCAAAAATTAAATTGACCCACAATGGTCAATTTAAATAATATAGATGAATAGTTTAAATAAAAATGAACTTAGGATTTGTATTTTCTCCCATGAAGAGCAGTAAAACTAAAAGTAGCTCTGACATATTTAGCATTCAGTGCTCAGACCAAGGAATATATGGCTTTATGGAAACACCCTCTCATAGGGAAACCCAAAACGCAGGGAAATACATAATGCTAGAAATGTGTAGTCAGCATCTGTGGTTTCTTTTGGAACATAAACATTTTTCCTCAAGTCGTTTAATAGTTTTTTCTCAAGGTTTGTAATAGACGTGGGTTCAGTTCAGTCTGCTCTTACATATCCACTTAGCAATGGATTTATTTCTGGGAAGTACATGTTTGTATAAGAAATGTAACACTAGATTATTGCCCTAGATCCACCCTGGTCAAATTAAGAGACTCCAAATATATTTTACAGCTATGCACCAAAGACAAGTCTTTCCATTTTTGGAAGAAGATCCAAGTAGAACCAACCTGAAATAGATTCAAGGCTTGGAGAAAAATGTTTATGGAGAATATTTACTACTTACATTTTTAATCAGAAGTTTCATTTTTGATATGTACAAGAACCGTACTTCAGATGAGTAAAGTTTTTAACCTACCTTTCTACACTCAGTTCCCCTTCTTAGCCATAAATCTATGCACACACCTAAATTCAAAAAACATTTATTGTCGATTTTGAGTTTAGTACAATGCTAAGATTTCAATTTTGTACATGAGATGTGCTGATCTGCTCACAAGTACTGAACATTAAGTTCTTTCTATTTTGGATGTTCTTAGTTCATCTCTCTGTTTGGGTCCCATTAGAACATACTGTACTAAATGGAAAAAGCAAACCAGTCTGTGGTGTCTGAGTTTATTTTTCAGGGACTTTGTAATTCAAGAGAGCTCCAGACGTTCTTCTTACTGCCGTTTTCTATACTCTACTCTATGACTGTTGTGGGCAACCTCCTCGTTGTGATCTTAATCATCACTGACCGCCATCTCCATTCCCCCATGTACTTCCTCTTAGCAATCTCTCATTTATTGACTTCTGCCTTTCTTCAGTAACCACCCCTAAACTGACCACAGACTTCCTAAAGGATAATAAGACCATTTCTTTTGGGGGCTGCATGAGCCAGATCCTCTGTGTGCATTTCTTTGGAGGGGGTGAGATGGTGCTTCTCGTGACAATGGCCTATGACCGTTACGTGGCCATCTGTAAGCCACTCCATTACTCCAGCATCATGAACACACAAAAGTGCATCTGGCTAGTTTTGATATCTTGGATCACTGGCTTTGCGCATGCCATGAGTCAGCTGGCTATGATTTTGGAGCTGCCCTTCTGTGGACCCAGGGTAGTAGACAGCTTTTTCTGTGATATACCTTTGGTGATCAAACTAGCCTGCATGGATACTCAGACTTTGGGAGCAGTCATAAATGCTGACAGTGGGGTTTTGGCAACCACTTGCTTCATTATCTTGCTGATCTCCTATACTTACACGCTATTAACTGTCTGCCTTCACTCTAAAGATGGGGCATCAAAGGCACTCTCTTCCTGTACATCCCACATCACAGTGGTGGTGCTGTTCTTTGGACCCTGCATCTTCATCTATCTATGGCCACTCAGCGTCGCTTGGGTGGACAAGTTTCTTGCTGTGTTTTACACAGTAATCACACCTCTCCTGAATCCCACCATTTACACACTGAGAAATAAAGAGATTAAGAATGCCATGAAGAGACTGATAAAATAGAACATGGATTCAAGGGATATGTGTTAAATAAATCATGTAACCAAAAAATACACTGTGTACACCCCAGTTTGGCCACATTTTGACCTGTAAACTGAACTACATGTATTAGTTATTCACATCT